TAAGGAGCTGTGCCTCTCCCGACTGATTTGTTGGTTCTTCTCACCGGCCATGGCACTTTCACCAGTGCCTTTGCCAACGCCATACTCAAATGTGTCCATTCTTCTTCAATCTTCCGTAGTCATGTCCAATTTTCATGTGTATATGAGGCAACTGAAAATACCATGACTTGGGTCCGGCGTACCTTAGCCCTCAGAGGCACATCTTTGCTTTTCAATACCTTAAAGAGGTCGGTGCAGGAGACTTACCCAGCGCAATACATGGTTTGATCTGTGCCCTGCTGCTTGTATGAGCATCGATTATGGATAAACCCAAGAGGAAATGCTTGACAATTTCCATCTTGTTTCCATTCATCATGACATTCCCTGTCGGTCCAGTTGTTAGTGCTTGGGTTTTCTTTACACTGAGCCGTCCTCCATACTGAAGGCTGCAATCCTTCACCGGCAAATGCTTCAAGTCCTCCTCACAGTCAGCAAGCAAGGTTTTGGTTTGTTTGGGGCGCGGGTTCATTATAACCTTATGGGACCCTGGGCTTCCATGTGATCAGACCAGGCTCACAGGAACGTTATACAGAGTGTGACCATATAACGATGGTTCTATATTTGTCATCAGGGTTCTGTTCCAAAACGGATGTATCTAAGAAATGTGACACCTGTTTTCACTGTGTAACTCTTGAAGCGGACAGTCTATGGAATCCTTTCTGTGTAGCACTATTTTCCAGCGTAGCACCTCTAGCAATGAAAAGGGGAAAGGAAGCCAAGTGCAACATGATTCCTGGGCTGCCCAGGACCGCAGGGAAGGTTAAAATGTTGTTATTTTTGTGATTCACATTAAAAATGTAAGGTTCAGAACACGAACAATAAAAACATAGCAGTAACAGCCGCTCACATTTAATTAGCACTTACTAGATCTTCACTCTTCTACAAGGAGCCCGGTGTCTCAGAGGTCAAGTGCTCGGTGGCTTGACGAAAGGTCCGTGGTTAGAATCCACCAGACACCGTGCACAGGAAGACATGGCGCTCTACTTCCACAAAGACCACAGCCTTGGAAACCCTGTGAGGTGGAACCAACTGGGGGACCACAGGTCTAGCCGGCTTTGGGGTCTTATGTTGCAGACATCGTTCTAAGTTCTTCCACACAGCCTTCCTACGTGCTACAGTGACTCATGTGGTTCTCACAACAACCCTGAAAGGCTCCTTTCGCCCTCCTCCCTTTGATAGCTGACAGACGGAGATCAAATCATTTTCTCAAGGTCAAATGGCTAGTAGGCGGCAGAGTCAGAATTCAAACCTCGTCAGGCTGACTCTTCACCACAAACATAAAATCCTTTGCAAAAAAGAGTTTTATTTCAAGGAACAAATTTACTCATCTTCCTGGAGAGGCTGTAGCTCCTGCTCTGTGGCTCCATAAATTCTGACTCAGGTTTTCATCAGAAATCGTGCAGAGGGTCTTTTCTTATAAGAGCCAGCCAGCCAGCATCTCCATCTCTGCCTGCTGACGTCAGGAGCAGGTGTGCAGAGCAACAAGCCCGCAAAGACCAGCCACAACCAGCTACTTTCTTTCCCAAACCAACCTCCTCACCTATAGCCAAACCGGTCTTAGGTGAGAGGAGGGCTTTTCCGAGGGTCTTCCAAAACGACTTAGAGAAGGGCTCAGCTCCTGCCGGTTCTCCTCTTTAATGAGTTTGCTGGTCTACGATGGTTTGGGTTTCTAGGTAACATGTCAGCAGACAAAGCACCTAATGCTAGAATGACCAGTTTGCCACAAAGGAGAAAGAAGCTGGTAAGAGACGTAAGCCGCTGAGTTTGGTTAATAGAAAATGTTCAAGCAACCCAAGCTGAACAAACTTAAACAAACCAAACTGTGAGCCCATTAGACAGTCCTTGTCAGGCATTTAGACCCCAGCAGAAAAAAACAGCTGAATGTAGTAAAAGGCAGATGATGTCGAGAACGGGCCCTCAAGGAGCCAGGAGTTTGTTTTGTCGGCTTATCTCAAGTCCAAGCTAATCATCCCAATGGTTCTTTATGACCTGGGCAGGGTCTCTGCAAATGGCCTTTGGAAGAAAGGACTGCAGGCCTAACCTACATTGCAAGCTGGGCCTCCCTCCCCAGGACTCCAGCTTCTCTCCGTGAAGGGCCACCACTTCCAGGAAGTAAAGAGGGCAGAGCCTAGCCTGGTCTAGCTCACAGCTCTCTTCCAGCCAGACTGCAAGCTCCACAAAAGACAGGTGAGGTGCCACCTCGGGTTCATGGTTTATCTCAAGCGCCCAGCTAAATAGATCTGTTTTAAAAATAAAAGTGGGAGAAAAAAAATCCATGTACCAGAGGGTGAAGTGACTGGAGGCCTAGAGAGATGGCAAGTGGGCTTGTTTTTCTTGCTTACCTGGGAGTCAGTTCCACCTCATGGCAACCCCATGTGCAACCCCACCCAGTTTCAAGATCACGACCTTTCAGAAGCACAGGGCCAGGTATGTTTTTCTTAAGCATTGTGCTGCTAACGGCAAGGGAGTGGTTCAAGCCCACAAGCCCCTGAGCAGTAGAAAAATGAGGCTGTCCACTCCTACAAAGATGACTCCATTCTACACGGTCACTGATGAAGACTATCGAAAGCAGCAGGGACTGCCAAGAGAACAAACAAACCTGCCTTAACCTGCATGCAGCCAGAATGCTCCTAAGCGGAAAGAATGGGGAGACTGTCTCACGTGCTTCGGGCATGTTGTCAGGAGGACCCGTCCCTGGAGAAGGAAATCCTGCGTGGTAAACTACCAAGGCAGCGGAGAAAGAGGAGGGCCCTGGACAAGAGGGATTGACGCCGGCCGGCCGGCACAGTGGGCTCCAACAGGACAAGCAGTGTGAAGAAGGCGCAGTGCTTGGCTCTGATGCACATAGGCTCGCTCTGGGTCTGACCTGACCTGGGGACACCCAACAACCACGCAGGGTCACGAGGAGCAGAAAGCAACTCCCTGGCAGTGGGTTGGTCTCGAGAGGCCTCTCTGGGTGGGTTCCAAGGCCAGACTTCAGGTGAGTAGTCAAAGGGGTAATGGTTGGTGCCACCAAGAACAACATGTACTGTTTAAGGCCTGCATCTCCCCCTGCAGACCCTAGACCCTGCGTACAGGTTCCCAGAACACGCCCCTCCCTCCAACTAAAGTATCCGTCTACCAGAAGGAAGGACACAGCTGTCCCTAATTCTAACCCCATGGAGGTGAGTGGAGGCAGTGGCAACGCGGTCCTTCTTCCAAGCTCGCTACTCCCAGCCCCGAGACCAGAGCCACACGAGAACCCGAGCGAGCGAGGCGTGTTAACCGGGGAGCCCTCCTCCAATTAATGTGTTATTGCTCTTTCAAAACCGAGAACAAACGGCCTGGCCGCTCCCGATCCCGGAGGCTGCAGAGCAGTAATTGTCACTTAGCCACTTAACTCCCTGCCGCACTGCTCACTCACTGCTAGCTCACTGGTCCTGGTTTATCTCGCAGCCAATTACAGCTGTCATTTGCGTTTCAGTGTGTGCCGGCTGGGGCCCAGGCCCCGTCGACAGGGTAACAGGAAACACCAGGGCCCAGGCAACTGACTTCCGCGGCTGGTGGAGCCCACCTGGGAGCCTAGGCATCGTGGGCGGTGGGCACTGCCAGAAGGTGGGTGCACAGAACGGCCCCAGAAGGCCTTCCGAGCCCCACTTTCCGGGTTCGTTCCGCGCCTGGGTCTCCCCAAGGCGGGCAACGGGAAAGAAAAAACTCTGACCCGAAGCCAGTAAGAGCCATGGTGATATGAAAGCACTAGAAATGCTGTTTTAGCAAGACCGCAGCAAGAGACAAGTCAGAAGTAGCAGGGGTACGGGAACAGATTCCTGTGACATTAAGGCGGCCATTGTCTCCAGCCCTCGAGGCAGAAAACTTTAATTCTTGAAAATGTCCACAGTATTGTTCTCCACCTATAACGTGGTCCTAAGGTGTGAAGGGAGCTTCTGGCTTGGGGGGCGGGCGTTGGGGTGGGAAACGGGACGGTTAACACCTGGGTGACTAACCTAAAGGTTAGTGGTTCAAATCCACCCAGAGCCTCTCAGAAGACAGGCTGCTGACCTGCTTCCAGAAAACCAGTCATCTCAACCCAGTGCAGCTCAAGGGGGTCACCGGAGTCAGCATGAACTAGGGCAACTGGTTGGTCACAGTGTAGGGAGCGTGGGAATGTTCTTGGGCAACCACTCCCCACTCCCCCACTCCAAAATACCTAAAAATACTATTCGTATTTCTGTTGTCCTAAGCTTGTGGGAAATGTCATAACTAGGCACAAGTATGACCAGATGTGACTATTTACAATTACATCAGGCAAAAGGAGAAGAAAAAAGAAAGAGATGAACAGCTTTGCCCGACACACGTGTCTTGATATTTAAATTTTGAAAGAAGAATTTAAAATGTCCTTTCGGGTTGCTGCAGGGGGAGGGCGGGGGAGGGGGGATCCTAACTACCAAAATAGCCTCCCTTTTCTCAACCATTTTGTTTACTCTGCCCTCCTGTTTAAACCTTCCCTGTTTGCAGGGGCAGTGTCTGCACTAAAATCTATTGACCTAGCCTGAGACATCCTTTCAAATGCACTCGGTCAACTTACAAAGGGATGGAAGCAGCATGGGTTTGAAACCCTGGATGCGATTGGAAGAGGAGAAAGAAAGGGAGGCTGACCAGCAGCGCAGGGCGTTTCTGCCTGAGCGCCTGCCCTGCCACTAGTTTGAGGGCGGCTGAGAAGACAGAGCGCGCCGAGCGCAGGGGAGGCGATCAGCGAGTTGGGCGGTGAGCAGCAGTCTGGATTGTCAGCATCTTCCTGTGCCCAGGCTGATTAGCAGTGAGGTCGTCCTGTTGTGCCTGCAATAGGCAGCAAACTCCCTCTGGCATTCCATCCGCTGAAGCCCCAGCCACCACAGGGAGGGACGGAGGGAGGGCGGGCAAGCTGGCAGGCTGCAGAGTCCAGCCGGAAGAGACCTGTCCTAGCTGGATCTGCACCTCCTGGTCTCTGGGTCTAAAAGGAGAGTCTTCACTTCTCCGCCAATGAGCTTCTCGCAGCCTGATGACGTAGGTGGTGACGTCAGTTCTATTTGCAGGCAAGGGCCATTTACACCAGGATTTCATCCAGGTAAGGAGGAAATGGGGAGGGGGAGGGGCGCTCAAGGGATGGCCTTGTCTCCTGTCAGGGAATAGAGGAAGGTCTGAAATAACCGGTGAGGGGCCAAAGTCACTGTTCACATCATCTTCTAAGCCCACTGCCATTGCGTCCATTCTGACCAATAGCCACCCTACAGAGCACAGCGGAGAACCACCCCATGTGGTTACTGCGGCTGCCATCTTCACAGATGCACAGAGATTTCTCGCCTGAGGAGCAGCTGGTGGGTTAGAACCACCAACCTTTTGCTCAGTGACCATGTCCTTCGGCACAGCGCCATCAGGGAAGCTCCTTAGAGCTGGCTTAGCTTAGCAAACTGCTGTCCTCTCAGAGCACCGGAGAGGAATTAGTGCACAGCAAGGAACAAGGAAGACAAAAAAAAATCACAAGCAAAAGCAGCTAACCAAGGCCACCGCCTTGGGTCTAAGCCCCCCTCTTCTCTGCAGCCTTCAGATTAAGAAAACGTTAAACTCGGAGTCAAAGCATCACCCTGCCTTCTCTCTGCGGGAGAGAGTGCTTCAAAAAGATGGAGAGCAGTCCTGGTTGCTCAGCAGCTGAGCGCTCACTTAACGGAAAGTTTGGAGGTGTGATCCTGTGTCCACATTTTGCAGAGGGCAGACTGGTGATGTGCCCCCGTGAGAGTACAGCCCTGAAGACCCCGTGGGGCTGTTCTGCTCTGACTAGTGCTAGTGCTATGAGATGGGGGTGCTGTGAGTCCCAATCGAGTCTCTCAGACAGCTATTAGCCGGAATGTGATCTTGTGCTTGTGCACAACTGTAATTTTCTCTACCTTTTGGCTGTGTGTGTGTGTTTAAATGCTGTTTCAAGCTAAACAAACTAATTGAACAGTCCCCCCTATGTGTGCGTGCATGTGTGTGGGGTGTGTGCGCGCGCGCAATTCTCAGCTGATCAATAGCTGGCTCTCTAGTTGGTGAGATGTGCGATAAGCTGTTCTTTTTCTTTTGTCTCAAAGCCAAAAGACACTTTATGGAGAAACAAGTTCCTCTCGCCACTCCCTCCCCGCACTGTAAGTGGCAGCACGGGAGCTTTGGAAACTTGCCACTGTGCGCCCAGAACAAAACCCAGGCCAATCAGCAGGGCCCTAAGCCCATGTCTGCAGAGGAGCCGCCTGCCCACCGCCCTGGCTGCTGCTACCAACTGCCCCCAGAGCTCGGCCCCAGGGCCTCCTTCAGGAGGGTGCAAGGACAACTCTGCCACCACACTGTCCCCGAGGAGGGAAAGGACACAGCTCTCAATCTGCCCTCTGTGTCCCTCGCTGCTACCATCCGAGCCCCTCCATGTGGCAGAGCCAGGGTGTCTCTCCACTGCCCCTGCCGCCCCTGCCAGCAGAACCGAGCTGCTGCCTGCCCCCTGCTTTCACCCAGCTCCACCTTCCCCTCAGGACGGCTCACCCTGGCAAGGCCTTGGCTCAGGCCACTCTCTTTTCTTGACCCCCATCCCACAAGCCTCTGGTAATGCTCACACCCACGTGTTTCTTTGCATCAAGTTCCCCGAGAGTGGGGGATGTACACTATGTCTCCGTGGTCTCAACACCCCCATTAGACACAGGGAGGGTGGTAGGGCACCTGTTACCCACCCATAGGCTCTTGGCAATTGGGGTGCTGCCTGTGTGCTTTCAGACTGCGAGCAAATGCCATTGTTACTCAGCACAGGGCAAGCACTGCCTCAGTAGTCCCCGTTAGATCCATTTCGGTGGCATCTATTTAAAGAAGGCTGACGCTGAGACACCAAGGGTGGTGTCGCTGTGACACGTTTTGCCTCCCCTCCCACGTCTGCAATTTTTCCTCAGGGTACTTAACAACGCGATGGGGTTGAAGACGATGACGCTCCCCATGACGTCAACCATGACAGGAAACTCGCGATGATTCGACATCCTTTTAGTCTCTGGGGCTGCGTGGCTGCTTCCAACAGTGCCTGGTGAGTCACACAATGACAGCTCACTTTATCTTAAAGCCTTAACCAGAATTCTGTCTGGCTCCTCAGTCAAACGGGCTTCTGAGAAGTCAAAATACGTCGCAGTAAGCCCGTGCCCTGGAGCTCACAGACTGCGAGCGCTGAGGGAAGGGGGTCTATTGGCCTGCATTCCAGGTCCTCTCGGTTCTGATTGACATCCATGCTCTGAGCCGTCGCATTCCCTGGGCACACAGGAAGCTGACGGTACATCCTGGAAGAGGGTGAGGTAGAAAGGGCTCCCAGGGGCAAAAATGGTGGTTGAGAGGGTGAAGTGCTAACCGCGTGCAAAAGAGGAGGCCGACAAATGTTCAAAGCACACACCGGGTGTACACAGTCTCTCTGGGGACACTCTGCTGTGTCCAGGAACGATGAGTTCCGCACAGACGAACAGGCCCTCTGGGGACCACCACCCACCCACCCCACCCCCGGCACAATCATGGCACTCTAGTGATGACGGAGATAATGATCGCGGGCTGCCTTCTGCCCAACGTGATCTACTTATGAAAAGAAGGAAATGTAGACTACTTTAAGGACGGGGAATATTTATGAAAACATATCTTTTTGTTTTTAAGTTTTAGCACTTAATGGAGTAGCTTTTGTCTATCTGGAAATATCTCCAAGCGACCCATTGCTCAGCTCCATTGAATGCGGTCCCATAAGTAACTGCCACCACAGCCCTGGCCCGAGTACACAACCTCAAGCAACCCAAGACCCAGGAGGATTCTTCTGCCGTTTTATTTTAAAGCACAGAGAAACAGGAAAGCCCATCTGCCAAAAAACGACCAACTCTAGCAGGGCCCACAGCCCCTCACCCACACGGAACACCGGCAGGCTAAGATTTAGAGTCAGGGCAGTAGTGCACATCCATCTATTCTGAGGCAGGTTCCACTTCTGAAACCATATTCATTCCGTCTTGACCCTCTGCTGGTCTCTTTCACTGCCTCCAACCCTCGCCCCCCGCCCCCTCTGCCTCCCACCATCTGATCTCATGGCCCTCACATGTAGTGGAGCAACTTCAGTGGGAGCCAGTTGATGGTTCCTGGGTAGAATTTTCACTTTCCAGGCAGGAGACCAGAGCCTGATTCCAAGGCCCCGGCCCCTCGGATGCAGCCAGCACCCATCTACCAGTGGAGACTGCCAGGTTGCTACAATGCTGAACAGGTCTCAAAGCAGCTTCTAGACTAAAATGGGCTATGAAGAAAGTCAGGGAAACCTAAGGAAGGGGAGGGTGAGAGATGATACCTGGTTAACTTCCACAAAAGCTCGGAGTCTGTAAATGGGTTTAAAGGGGGAAGAAAAATGGTTGAGTTAGAAACAGTTGAGGGAGAAACGATTTCAGAAAGAGAGGCAGGCAAGACGGAATGTGCCCAGGGCAAAGGAAGGGTGGTGTGCGGCCCGCCGTAAGAAATGGGTACATCCTGTGAACGCTATCTAAGAGGTAAGGAGAAACAACGGTGGCAAAGAGGTTAAAGTTTGGCCACTTATCTGACCATTCCTGCAAAACTGGAAACTTCACAACTAGAGCTCTTAGCTTCTTTCCTGATGACAAGACAGAAAGGGACATTCCCAACAAGATGGGAGAAGTGAGCCCACTACTCCCAATATTGTGTTGTGCTCCCCGAATGTTCTCGAACAGAGTGAACATTAACCCATGGCCATTGACTGGCTTGGCATTTCCATACCTGGCTATAGCAAGAACCTTGTCTTGAAAATACCATTTTTCTTTAAAGCTTAAAAGCCTTCCAATCTTCCCCACCACCACCCAAGATCGTACCACCCAAGGGGTAGCCTAGAGGGAACTCAGCATTTAGTCATGCAATACTTACCACCTATTACACCCTTGGCCCAAGGAGTTCTTGATGCTCTCACATCTCCCCAAATGGGGAAATTCTATTTGTCACAAGGGAAATGTGACAAATTAGACACAAATAATAATTTGATAAAAAATATAACAGTGCAGAAGCTGTTTTACTACGTACGCTCTCAATAAAATAAAATCTGCCCTTTCAAAAAAAGTGTAACAATGAGCTACTAATGGACACACAGATCAACACCTAAAATGAACAGGGGCAGGAAAGGCGATGGGACTCCACCCATGAACATACAGGCTCGGCAAAGGGTATTTCAACATAGATGCTCATCTGCACTCAAAAGACACCCATGAACATAGTACAGCACACAGGGAGGGAAATTAGGAACATTTCTTAGTCATCACCAGACACCTTGAAGAATTAGTCACCAGGGCTTGGGGGGGCGGGGCACTCAGGACCAGCGTCTTCGGGGACACCAGAGTCAATCGGCATAGCATCGTCCACGAAGAGAATGTTCTACACCCTACTGTACAACTGTGACAAGTGACTGGGGTCTTAAGAGCTTGTGAGCAGTCAGCGAAGGGCAACTTTTGGTCTCTCCCCATTACCAGCAAAGAAGACAGAAGAAAATTAACGATGCAAGGAAACAATGAGTCTAGGGACGCCAGCATCCAGGACCCGGAAAACAGAAGAGGAACAGGATGGTGCCTGGGCTCAACCACTCTGTGTTTTACATGTAACAAACACACCAACACTCAAAAGCATCCAAAAGATTAGGAGGCCTGGTGAAACAGAGGCTGACAGAACCCCGTGGCTCTAACCAGTAGATAGCCCTCAAGGGCAGAACTGAACTCAACCTGGCCTCCAGAGCATGCAAAATGCACAGGGCCACCTTTGCCCAGGGAAAGCACACAGGAAGGGTGTGGGAGGGATACTGTCACACTGTGGAGGGATGGCAGTCAATGCCACACAGCAAAATGCGTATGGATTATTTCAGGAAAACCAATTTGTTCTGTAAACTTTCATCCAAATTGCAATACAAAATAAATGGCAAATAAATAAGTAAAAAGGCATTTGATGATGTATATGTTTAAAGGGGCTAAGGTTTGTTGTTGTTGTTGTTTAGGAACCTTACACTATAGTGTGAGTATAGGTATACAAAGCTAATCTCAGTCGAGCTTTCTTACTTACAAACTAACTGCCTAACCTTGAGCGAATTCCTTAACTTCTCTAGGAGTGGATTTCTTTCTCTGCATTACTGAAATTGAGGTTCACAGTTTTGTCTAAAGAGTAAAATGAGTTCTCAGATAGATGTAAAGAGCACCCATCTGTAAAGCCTCACCTTCCTCCCGTGGAGCAGCTGGTGGTTTCAAACTGTGAACCTTGTCATTTAGCAGCCCAAAGCGGTGTAACCCACTTAAGCCACCAGGACGCCTTCTCTTGGTCTACTGTCCCCCAACTGGCTTCTCGGCTTGCAGTCTGTTCTGCCTCCAATTCACCCAACACCCTGCTGCTAGGCATCGCGTTCAAAATCAGAAACCTGATCATGGCACTCCTTGACACAAATCCTTCTATGGATATTACATTCAGAACAAAGTCCACAAGCCCCCAGCCCATCTGTTCAGCCTCACCTCCCAACCACTCCATTTCTGCCCCCTGCCCCCTGAACCACAGCAGTCCCGATGTTCCAAGAGCCCGGGCATTGTTTGCGGATCACACCATCTGTTCTGCTGCGTGTACTCTTCCTGCCCCTCCTCCTGGGATGCCATCCCCCGCCAACCCCCTTCCATCTTTACAGACCACCCTCTTCTGCAAGGCTCCACTCCAATGCCACTTCCTCTCTGAACCTCCCCATGATGCCCCTGGGCAGCTCTCTCCGGTCTCCCTCCAGGTCTCCCCTCCAGGTCTCCCTCGTGCACCCTACAATCATTGGGTCCTACACTTACCCAGACCCCTGAGGTCACTTTCCACACAGAGAAAACAAATCTTTCTTCATTTTTTAAAAGGATCCTCAAGAGGAAGGAGCGGGAGTGACAGTGACTGCAACAATGGACTCACATAAGAACAGCCAGGAGGCTGGCGCAGGGCCGGGCGGTATTTCCTTCTGGCGTCCACAGGCTCGCCAGGAGTCGGAGCGTGTCTCACCCCCCAGTCTGACCTCACGTGAGTGCCCTATACCAGGCGATGACTGGCTCTATGGATTACCATCTTGGTCAAGAGCACACTGCACTAGAAGACCTCTGTTCTTTGACAAGGGAAAGACCACCAGCCCCTAACTGCACAAAGACAAGTTGACAGCCTCAGGGACAGCCCGGTAGCATGTCTAGTACATTCCATTCCTTGACCCCACCACAGGCGCAGCACAGGGACTGCCATGAGTCGAAGGCAAGGCAAGGGCAACTGGTAGCTCGTTATCTATTGCAGTGACATAATGACACCAAGTGAGGGGCACAGGGGCCGGCGGGGAAGGGAAAAAGAGAGGGGAAGAAAAGTGGCAGAGAGCGAGTATAAACCGGACTCAGCATGGCAGGAAGCGCAGACCCAAGCCTCTTCCTCCAGGGCAGGCAGGGCCTTCCC